TATTGATTTTAGGCACCAATTATTTTGCTTCTATTGATTTTAGGCACCAATTACCACCACCACTCTGGTATAACAAATCTTTGTATGTAAGTCCCTCCATCACCACTCCTCTGATTATAGTTTGAAAAATATGTGATGGTATCACCCAGAGTGGTAGCTTAATATCAAACTTGAAAAAGTATTTTTGCCAAACTCTTAACAATGCAGTCCTTATTATATGATTTTTGAAGGTTTTATCAATTTTTTCTGCATAAAAAGATAAGCATGCCACCCAAAGTACAAGTCCCATCCTTCGACAATCAAAATCCCTTTGTTGGACAAATTAAGAATGTACTTCCATATGTTGTTCTAAAAGGATAGGAGAACAATCCAATTGAGGTTTGTTCTTCAATGTGTGGAGGGGTTTGGTCGTCTCCTTTTCTTCTTGGCTCCCATGATGGAGCCTATGAAAGGCCACTGAAGGCAGAGTGTAGAAGAGACTAATGGAGATTTCCTGAGCAGGACAGGAAGAAATCTTCAGTTGTGTGTTCAAGCTAGAAAAGATGAAGTTGCAGCCTTTCCTGTTTCCATCCTGTCTCTCTCCTTCCCAGTGGACAAAATGGAGTCACCGTTGGTCACTGAGTCGTGTCCTTCTATTGGTGGAGCTGCAAGAGTCACTGGATTCCCAACTCAGGTAGGAAGGAAGAGATCAGCAGCTAATATGGGGGAGCATATTTCCTTTGGGGATACAACATACGATACTGCTATTCCTGAGCAAAGCACAACAAGGAAATTGGAAATGTAAATTCATGATCAGTCAAACTAGGCCCACCTGTCAACATTTAAGTTTTGGAAATGTATGGAATTCCTTAGTGGTTATATCATTGTGGTTTCAAAAAATGCCACCTGACTGTTCATGTTGTCTATCCCAAGTAAAGCAGACAGGACACACAAATAGTTAGGCTAAACCTACTTAAGCATTAACTTGTTTTCGTATCATTGGGGAAAGGGATAAAAACAGGAGGAGCAGAAACCGCTTTGTGTATCATCTGCATCTTGACATCTGGAAGTGCCTTCCTTGTATTTTCATGAGTGGGAGCAAGGCTGATCCTTCAAAGAACCACAAAGACCTTTTGGTTACTGTGTCAGACAGAAATCCCACAGAATCTCTTGCAAATATCATGGAATGGTAGATGGTGTGTCTAAGGCACACTCTCCCACTTGATCAAGGCAGGTTGATGACACTGAGGGTCAGCAAAGTCAGTCATGCCCTAATTGGCTGCCTGCCATAGGGTGTGAATTCTGCCCATTTTAGCATGTAATATGTTGAGTTCAGCTAGGAAAATATCCAATCAAAAATTTTCACTTTATACTGTTTGGATTTGCGGATGAAAGGAGATCTCGGAAATTCTATCGAGTCTGCTCACGGGGATTCTTCCTTGTTCAGGGTCCTGTGTCCTTTGAAGAGGTGGCCGTCCATTTCAGTAGTGAAGAATGGTTGCTGCTGGATCCCAGCCAGAAAGCCCTGCATCGAGAAGTCATGTTGCAAATGTTTGTGATGGTGGCCTCTTTAGGTAAGGGTTCCTCTGGAGGAAAATTAAGTCAGAGCAAGGTGTCACTAGACACTTTAGTGACAACCTTATTGCACTCATAGTCCTCTAAGTAGCACAATTTCATTGAGAAGAAAAAGATCAGTGGGGTGTCCAGTCATTCTGGCAAGGGTTGACATTTGGTCTTGTGGTCATCCTGGGCTCTGTCATCACTGCAGAGCAGAAGATGTTGAGGGAGAGGATGTTTTTGCCTATTGCAGTTGTCCTAATCAGGAACAAATTTTGTCTTGCTTCGTGTTGCAATGACATACGTTGTCTTATTGAATGTAACTTAGACGCATCATATGTGAGACAATTTGTGTGCCACGTCCTGACGTCAAGACCTGTTCTTGCTTTTAAATTTTTTGCCAAGAAAGGATTAGATCAGCAGCCACGATAGTCTTTTAAGTTAATAATTAATATTCATGCTATCATTTCCTCTGTTTCTTTCTCCGCAGATGCCCAGTAATAGATAAATCTATGCATTGAGACAGCAAATTGTATGTTGTGGATTATTCTAATTCATTTTTCTTCCCCCTCAAGCATTGGATGCAGAGGAGAAGAAGGAAAATCGCCAAGAGCCAAATTTAGTACCATTGCAAATAATCAAAATGGAAATACCTGAAGAGGCACCTACAAATAAACGGGAGAGGAGGAAACATGAAGAGAAGCACACTTGGAGAGAAAAATCTATTCTTGAATGTGTGGAAATGGATTGTTTCCTGACTAAAGGTGATTCCAAAGAAAATATGGGGAAATATCAAAGTAGAAAAAGATTCAAAGCAAACCCCAATTTTAGTAACCAGTGCAAAACAGGAAAGAGATTCAGCAGTAATAAACTTACTCCCCATATAATGACCCAGGCAAGGGAGAAGCCCTACAGAGATGTGGACTGGGGAAAAAGCGTTGGGTGGAGAGGTAATCTAACTTCCCATAAAAGAATACAGTCAGGGGGAAAGCCCTATAAGTGCATGGTCTGTGGGGAAAGATTCAGTTCAAATAGTTCCTTTACTTTCCATAAAAGCATCCACACCAGAGAAAAATCCTATGAGTGCCTACAGTGTGCAAAGACCTTCAGGAACAGTGAGCGTCTGAAATCCCACAACATGATGCATACAGGCAGAAAACCTTATAAATGTGTGGACCGTGGTAAAAGGTTCAGTGAGAAGAGTTCCTTTAGTTCCCATAGAAGGATTCATACTGGAAAAAAACCCTTTAAATGCATAGAGTGTGACAAGAGCTTCAGCACTAGTAGTTACCTGATATGCCATAGAAGGATCCATTCAGGGGAAAACCCGTATAAATGCATGGAATGTGGAAAAAGCTTCAGGACGAACGCTTCTTTTACTAAGCATAAATTGATCCATGCGGGAGAGAAACCCTTTAAATGCATAGAGTGCGGGAAGAGCTTTAGGCAAAGTGGTGTCCTTGCTTCCCATAAAAGGATCCATACGGGAGAGAAACCCCATAAATGCATAGAGTGTGGGAAGAGCTTTAGGCAAAGTGGTGGCCTTGCTTCCCATAAAAGGATCCATACGGGAGAGAAACCCTATAAGTGTATTGAATGTGGAGAGTGCTACAGAAATAGTGATCAACTGACCTCCCACAATAGGATCCATTCAGGTGAAAAACCTTATAAATGCACGGAATGTGGAAAACCCTTCAGGACATGCAGTTCCCTTGCTTACCATAAACGGACACATACTGGAGAAAAACCGTATAAATGCCTGCAGTGTGGAAAGAGCTTCAGTGTAAAGAGTTCTCTTACTTCTCATAAACGGTTACACACAGGAGAAAACCCTTATAAATGCATGGAGTGTGAAAAGAGCTTCAAAACCAGCAGTCACCTGACCTACCATAAAAGAATCCATACGGGAGAGAAACCGTATACATGCCTGGAATGTGGAAAGAGCTTCCCTATAAAAACATCTCTGATTTCTCATGAAAGGATCCACACAGGAGAGAAACCCTATAAATGTCTAGAGTGTGGGAAGAGCTTTAGCACGAACAGTAAACTTAGTTTTCATAACAGGATCCATTCAGGCGAAAAACCTTATAAATGCACAGACTGTGGAATGACCTTCGCTGGCAGTAGCTATCTGACTTACCATAAAAGGACACACATAGGAGAGAAACCCTATAAATGCCTGGAGTGTGGGAAAATCTTTAGGCAACGTGGTGTCCTTATTTCCCATAAAAGGATCCATACAGGAGAGAAACACTATAAATGCATGGAATGTGGGAAGAGCTTCAGCACTAGTAGTTACCTGATATCACATAGAAGGATCCATTCAGGGGAAAAACCCTATAAATGTGTACAGTGTGGAAAAACCTTCAGGACAAACAATTCTTTTAGCAAGCATAAATTGATCCATGCCGGAGAGAAACCCTTTAAATGCATAGAGTGTGGGAAGAGCTTTAGGCAAAGTGGTGGCCTTGCTTCCCATAAAAGGATTCATACAGGAGAGAAACCCTATAAGTGTATTGCGTGTGGAGTGTGCTACAGAAATAGTGATCAACTGACATCCCACACAAGGATCCATTCAGGTGAAAAACCTTATAAATGCACAGAGTGTGGAAAACCCTTCAGGACATTCAGTTCCCTTGCTTCCCATAAACGGATCCATACAGGAGAAAAACCATATAAATGCCTACAGTGTGGGAAGAGCTTCAGCACTAGTAGTTACCTGATATGCCATAGAAGGATCCATTCAGGGGAAAAACCCTATAAATGTGTAGACTGTGGGAAAACCTTCAGGATGAACAGTTCGTTTACTAACCATAAATTGATCCATGCAGGAGATAAACCCTTTAAATGCATAGAGTGTGGAAAGAGCTTTAGGCAAAGTGGTGTCCTTGCTTCCCATAAAAGGATCCATACAGGAGAGAAACCGTATGAATGCATGGAGTGTGGAAAAAGCTTCCGTGTAAAGTGTTCTCTTACTTCTCATAAACGGATCCACACAGGAGAAAAACCCTTTAAATGCATACAGTGTGGGAAGAGCTTCAGCACTAGTAGTTACCTGATATGCCATAGAAAAATCCATTCAGGTGGAAAACCATATAAATGAGTAGACTGTGGGAAAACCTTCAGGATGAACACTTCTTTTACTAAGCATAAATTGATCCATATAGGAGAGAAACCACTTAAATGCATAGAATGTGGGAAGAGCTTTAGGCAAAGTGGTGACCTTGCTTCCCATAAAAGGATTCATACGGGAGAGAAACCCTATAAATGTATTGAGTGTGGCAAGAGCTACAGAAATAGTGATCAACTGACCTCCCACAAAAGGATCCATTCAGGTGAAAAACCTTATAAATGCACAGAGTGTGGAAAACCGTTCAGGACATTCAGTTCCCTTGCTTACCATAAACGGACACATACTGGAGAAAAACCGTATAAATGCCTGCAGTGTGGAAAGAGCTTCAGTGTAAAGAGTTCTCTTACTTCCTATAACCGGTTACACACAGGAGAAATCCCTTATAAATGCATGGAGTGTGAAAAGAGCTTCAAAACCAGCATTCACCTGACCTACCATAAAAGAATCCATATGGGAGAGAAACCTTATACATGCCTGGAGTGTGGAAAGAGCTTCAGCCATAGAAGTCAACTTAGTTACCATAACAGGATCCATACTGGGGAAAAACCTTATAAATGCACAGACTGTGGAAACACTTTTGCTGGCAGTGGCTATCTGACTTACCATAAAAGGACCCACACAGGAGAGAAAACTGTATAAATGCCTGGAATGTGGAAAGAGCTTCAGTGAGAACCGTGCACATACTTCCCATAACAGGATCCACATGGGAAATTGTATGTATGCAATGAATGTGGGAAGAGTTTGAGTTCAAGCAGCTCCCTTACTTACCACATTAGTTCTCACACACAGAAGAAATTGCATCAGTGCACAGAGTGTGGGAAGAGCTTCAGATTAAAAAAAACCTTAGTTCCCATAAGAGGATCCACAGAGGGGAGAAATAGAAATGTTTGCAATGCGGAAAGAGTTTTGGTGAAAACAGGAAGCTTCTCAAGAAAGAATCCAGAGGGCAGAAAAATATCCTGTGGAAAGCAATCAACTTATTTCCTGTATTAATATGATCCACATCATGGATACGTACAGGACGGAAATCCGTTTAGGAACTGAAGTGTCCTTAATTTGTGTAAAAGTATCCGTGGATATCAAACCATCTAAAGATTTGGAGTGTAAAAAGAATAACATGTGGAAAATTGTGGAGAACAGTCTTCCTTCTTTCAGGCCATTGCTGTAGAAGCAGCTGAATAAATGTATTTGGATTTTGGAAAGGTCCCAGAATAGAGTTCTTAATTCCAGAGGTATTATCTAGTCAAAGGTAAGGTCCCGCTCAAGAAAATCTGTTAAACAATTGCCCCACTCCTTACTCCAAAACTTCTGCTTGGTCAAGCTGCTTTATTTAGGTAGGAGCAACATCTAAAGTGAGTCTGGGATCAGCCTCCAGGGTTTGTGAAGAGCTGGTGTATGCAAGCAAAGCAAGGAGAAATGTATGTTTGTATATTCATTTTAGCTCTAATTGTGTTGAAAATACTGGCCATTAATCATGTAGCACAGTATTTAAGTTAGGTTTACAAGTGAAAATGTCTCCCAAATGTTTATATGTACAGTTCAGTCTGGTGCAAAATTGCATTAACCCATCTGAAAGGGACTTTATAAAGGGTTTTATTGATCCAACAGTGTACCATATGAGAAATGTTTTTTTTTAAAAAAAGGACTTAAATTGCTTGATTTAAATTATTAATTGTTCAGTTTCTCAGATTAAAGTAATCGTACCATATTTTCTATTTCTCATGATATTCAAATGTCACTTTAGTGCCTCTTCATTTTGTGATGCCAAATTGATCAGAAATGTCAATCGTACTTGACACATTATGGGACTGTAGCATTTCTATGGTTTTGGAAAATACTGTTACTAGCAGGAATGTGACTTTGTGCTTTTTATCTTAATATAGCTTTTAAAAAGCTTATTTCCTGATTATTAACAACCTTTCTAATTTTGATAGGTTAATAAATTATTGGAAACAGTTGTGGCACAATGTAAATGATGCCCTACTTAATACACGTTGAACAAAGGCCACACTTGGAATACTGCATCCAGTTTTGGTCACCACAATGTAAAAAAGATGTTGAGATTCTAGAAAGAGTACAGAGAAGAGCAACAAAGATGATTAGGGGACTGGAGGCTAACATGTACAAGGGTTGGTTGCGGGAATTGGGTATGTCTAGTTTAATGAACAGAAGGACGAGGGGGGACATGATAGCAGTGTTCCAATATCTCAGGGGCTGCCACAAAGAAGAGGGAGTCAAGCTATTTTCCAAAACGCCTGAAGGCAGGACAAGAAGCAAGGGATGGAATCTAATCAAGGAGAGAAGCAACCTAGAACTAAGGAGAAACATCCTGACAGTTAGAACAATTAACCAGTGGAACAACCTGCCTCCAGAAGTGGTGAATGCTCCAACACTGGAAGTTTTTAAGAGACCGGACAGCCATTTGTCCAAAATGGTATAGGGTTTCCTGCCTAAGCAGGGGGTTGGACTAGGTGACCTCCAAGGTCCCTTCCAACTTTATCATGATGATGATGATGATGATGATGTAGGGAATTTGGGGGATCGTGTGTGTAATAAAAAGTTAAAAAGTGGTAGGACGTGGAATGAATTTAGATCTGACTCAGTTTTACGTTGCACAATGATGCATAGAAAACCATGGAATGAGAAAAGCATTAACAAGGTAGATTTATCTATGAAAAGAAGCAAGCAACGAGAGAAATTGTAGCCTATAAAATGTGGGAACATTCCTCATTCTAAAATCTTTGCCTTTTTTTTAGAAGTTTCCTAATTATGTAATTTTACACCTGTGGAGATAATCCATGCAGCATTGATAGTGCTTCAGCCAAATATATCTTCTTCCCGCATGTCAGAGGACCTAAAGGGGAATCAGACAATTGAAACCCTTTTGAAGCTTTCTACAGTCTGAATGTACATTTGGCCTTTGAGTGGCAGACAAGGATTTCTGGTTCAAGGAGTGGGGTGTGTATGTCTGGGTATTAAGTGGGAAGACATTTATCTTCCCATTCTATACAATTAAATAATATATTAATTGTATACATTAATTCAAAGTATTCTCCAGCCAGAAATTCCACCTTCCCTTTGAAAAGAAAGTCCTGTAAGAGATACCATTATTTTGAAGGGTTTTTCGGGGCGAATGGAAGCCAAGACCTTGAAGGGGATCATGTCCTGGGATCTGGGGATCCTCCCAGTCATCTCGCCTCAGTCTTGGGGTCACCCTGAGGGATTCACCTGGGGCAGGGCGTTTCCCATCAGAGAAACTGCTGAATTGAGGGGGGGGCAATTGTGGTACTTCTCCTTTCGGGTTGGTTTTTTTTTTTATCCCGCTTGCCTAAATCAGGGACACTTTAAAGTGTTTGGATGTGATGGCACCTCCTCCCCGAGATTTGAGGGGGCTAGAGGGGGCCCATGAGAGAGAAGAGAGGGAGGCCTAATTAGGAGTCAGACTGAAAGGAGTCAGGTCCACCCTTCGGAGCCCCAGACCCTCAATGGTGGTGCTTCCCTAAGGCAGTGGTTCTCAACCTTTTTAATGCTGTGACCCCAACCGGTCGTAAGTGTTTGGACGTGATGCCCCCCCGATATTTGAGGGGGCTAGAAAAGGGCTCTTGAGGGGGGTGGAGGGGGCCCATGAGAGAGAAGAGAGGGAGGCCTAATTAGGAGTCAGACTGAAAGGAGTAAGGTCCATCCTTGGGAGCCCCAGACCCCCAATGGTGGTGCTTCCCTTGGGGGGCACTTTCCCCTCCCCCCCAGCCAGCAAAGAGGTTCCTCCCACCCCTCCAAGGACTGCCTTTTCCTGCTTCCCTGGGAGGGGTGTGGTCAGAAGTGGAGGGGTCTTGCAACATCCTGCCCCACCCTCAGCCTTTTCCCTAACGTCTCTCCGGGAGAGGGGTCGCAATCCTTTTCTCCCCCCCCGAACCCCACCATCAATGGGGCTTCCCCCCAAGTGTGGCCCTGTTCATTTATGAGTTGGGGGGCTGCCTGAATCGGAGATACTTCAACGCCTTTGGACATAATGGGGCCGCCAAGAATCTCGAGGGGGCTGGAAAAGGATTCTGGAGGGACCCCTGAGGCAGAGGAGGGGCCCAGAAGGAGACCTAATCCAGAGTCCGACCAGGAAAGAGAACTCGAGGCCGTCTCTGAGGCGCCCCGAAGAAGCCCGATGGCGGTGCTTCCCCCATAGCAGCGTCTCTCTTTCTCTCAACGGTCTTTCCCGCCTAAGGGAATCGCATTGGGAGGGGCGTGCCCAGAAGGGGGAGGGGGGTCTTGCAACCTCTCGCCGTGCAGCCATTTCCCCAAAATCTCCCCGGGGGATCCCAGTCCTCTTGAGGGGGATGCTGTGTGGGGGATGGAGGAGGGCCCTGAAGGAGAGGAGGGGCCCAGAAGGAGGCCTCATCCAGAGTCCGACGGAGAAAAAGAAGTCGAGACCGTCTGTGAAGAGCCCCGAAGAAGCCCGAAGGCGGCTCTTCCCTCAGATCCGCGGCTCTTTCTCTCAACGGCTTTTCCCGCCTCGCCGCCTGAGGGAATCGCACCGGGAGGGGCGTGGCCAGAAGGGAAGCGGGGGGAAGGGAGGAGCCTTGCAAGGTCCCGTCTCCCTTGCTCTGCAGCCTTTCCCCCAACGCCTCTTCTCGAGGTCCCAGACCCCCTTCTTCCTCTTCTGGGGGAGTGTCTCCTTCCTCCCTTCCAGGGATCCTTGCTAGCTGACCCACCAGCAGCAACAGGGGAACCCCAGCAAAGCCCATGGAAGCTTCCCAGAAGCCTCCTCCAAAGAGAGAAGGGGAGAAGTGGAATAGGGAGGGGTGGGGTCTTGACAGGGATTCTTAGGAGTTGGCCTGCCAGGAATAAGTTGCGCCAATGGGAATTCTCCCTTCTGTTGAGTCATCTGTCTCCTGGCAGAATGTCTCGTGATTTCTCCCTATTGGAGAAAGCCTTTGGAGCCCCAGAGGTGCTTTTTTTCAGGAGGCAGCTGGACTTTCTTTGAAGAAAAGCTTCTTCAGCTCTGACTGGATGGTGGGGAGTAGTCAGAGCTGAAGAAGCTTCTTGGATGAGAAGCGAAACGTCTTTAAAGGAAAAAAGAAGAAGATAGGCCAGTTGCCTCCTGGAAAAGCACCTTTGGGTCAAACCATAGCTGGATGACTGGAAGTCTCCATAAGCCTTTGGAGCAGAAACTGAGGAACCGGGACTGGGGGGGGGAGTCATTACCCACAGCTGGAGGGGACCTTGGAACTGGGGTGATTCTGATTCTTATATTATTTCTGTCTTCTAGGCAGTGGCTGTCCTTTTCCCCTCCGCATTTTTCTCACGCCCCTTAATTACATAATTATTACAAATTATATAAATACTGAAGCTCGATTGATCCATGACTAAGTCTGCATTCCCATTTCTTGGGAAAATATCAGCAGGCGTCAAGCTCTCAAAATATACCAAAAGCAGCACCAGGTGTCAAGTTCTGCCAGAACGTTTGTGTGTGTGTGTGTTGTGAGAGAGAGAGAGAGAGACTGACAGACAGAAACACACACACATACACAGTCACAGAGGGGGGGGGAGATGGAGGGAGAGAAAGGGAAAGGGAGGGAGACGGAGGGAAGAACAGAAAGAGCAAAAGAGGGAGAGATAGACAGACAGACAGAAGGAGAGAGAGAGAGAAGGAGAGAGAGAAGGAGGAAGACGGAGTGGGAAAGAAAGGGAGAAAAGTAGAGGAAGACAGTGCGGCAGGGACGTGTGGAATAGAGAATAGATCGGCTCCCAAAAGGACAGAACCGGCATCCCCTCCGGGTGACTTTCTGCAAATCGCCATTAGCGCAAGGACAAGGAAAGGCTTGTTATCTTCCCATGGCATTTACCGGAAGCTAAATGGCAGAGCTCGTCCTCCAGGGCGGATCCGGCGCCGAAAAGAGGTTGGGCTTGATAGCCTCCAAGTCTGCTCCCACGGCCGTGATTTCACCGCAACTCCCAGCAGGCGGCGCTCTCTGGGCTGCAGACTGAATGTATGCCACAGCGCATGCTCGACTCCGTCTGCGTGGTCGGGAGACTGCCGCCTGTGAGTTCTTCCCCGGGAATCTGGGGGAGGGGGGTGGACAAGGGGGGGGGGTCCCGCGACTCAGATCCTCCACAGGGGAGGGGAAACATATTCCGAATCCCGAAGCTTGGAGGGAGCGGGAAATCCACCCCATAACTGCGACCGGCTGTGATGCACGAGATCCAACAACGGGGGAGGGGACAAAGTTGAGGGGGGGAGGGGGAGCCTAAAGGGACCACTTGCTCAAGTCTCTTTAAGGTTCTGCTTCCAAGACGGGAAGGATCTTCGGAGAGCCAGCGGAGACCAGTAGCCCGATGGTGCCTGTGGCTGAGAGGTTCCTGGTGAGCGTGGCAGAGGAGAAGAAGCAGGAATAGAATGAAGGGACCTTGGAGGTCTTCTAGTCCGACCCCCTGCCCAGGAAGGGCCCCAGGTCAGAGATGCTTCTTTTGGGAATTATAAAGGGATCTTTCTGTGCCTCAATTCTTAAATACCTTCTTGAGAGAGTTTTGGGTGGTTGATAATGCAAGTAGATAATTTAGAGAACCTCATTAAAGTAATTGTTCTGGTGTTCTTCCAAAGAATATCTCATTTGGAGCAATTCTCCCATTGGCCTCATCCATCCCCACAGATGAACAGGAAGGTTTGGCCACCTTGTGGAAAGAACATAAAATCCAGATCCTCTCATGTCCCGACCTCTTCAGCCCTCTCTTTTGCTTCTATTTCAGGTTCTGAGGTCCTTCCAGGAATGGGGACTAATTGGGTGGATCCCACAAATCTTTCTCGTGATCTGTCTTTCAGAGGGATCCCCAAGGATAAACGTCAACGTCAGGAGACCTCACTAGGTAAGGGAAGACTGTTCCGCTGGATTGGAGATTTTCTGGAAAGAGTCTCGTTATCGTTAATTCTCTGTGTCTTCTCATGTCTTGGTCATTGGGTTTAGTAAAAGGTGACCCAATAAAAAAGCTATAACTCCCTCTTCAAGCTAGAAGACCTAAGGCGCACAAAGGAATTCCCATCCTTAAGAGCCACCCTATGGTTTCCCTTTTGCAGAAGACCCACTTTTCTAGGGACCACCTTGAGTTGTAGTCTGGCTCCTCCATCATGAAAGATTTCTCTTTGTTCTCAAAGATGCGGAAGACAGCAACCAGTTTTTTGGCCTTCCTCAAGAGATAATTTCAACTCAATTCCTACACAGATCCCTGCTGGACCATTTCCAGCTGTCCTTGCAGGCTGGGTTGCTAGAATTTCATGAATTGCTCTTCCATGATGGTTTTAAGCTGCAGGGAATTGGGGGGAGGGAGAGAATTTGTAGTGATTGAGCAAATGCTTTGGTTGCCAAGAATGTACTTCCATATGTTGTTCCAGAAGGTCAGGAGAACAATCAAATTGAGGTTTGTTCTTCAATGTGTGGTGGGGTTTGGTCTTCTCCTTTTGTTCTTGGCTCCCACGATGGAGCCTATGAAACGCCACCGAAGGCAGAGTGTAGAAGAAACCAATGGAGATTTCCTGGGCAGGACAGGAAGAAATCTTCAGTTGTGCCTTCAAGCTAGAAAAGATGAAGTTGCAGCCTTTCCTGTTTCCATCCTGTCTCTCTCTCCTTCCTAGTGGATGAAATGGAGTCGCCGTTAACTGAATCATCTACGTCTATTAGTGGTGCTGAAAGAGCTGCAGGATTCCCAACTCAGGTAGGAAGGAAGAGATCAGCAACTAATATGGGGGAGCAGTAGGGAACCTCTAGTTTCCTTTGGGGACTCAACATACAATATTGCTATTCCTAAGCAAAACACAACAAGAAAATTAGAAATCTAAATTCATGATCAGTCAAACTAAGCCTACCTCTCAACATTTAAGATTTAAAAATGTATGGAATTCCTTAGTGGTTATATCATTCTGGTTTCACAAAATGTCATGTTGTCTATCCCAAGAAAAGCAGACAGGAGATGCGAATAATTAGGCTAAGTCTACTTTACTTAAGTATTATGTTGTTTTCGTATCTTTGGGGAAAGGGATAAAAACAGGAGGAGCAGAAACTGCTTTGTGTATCATCTGCATCTTGATGGCCAGAAGTGCCTTCCTTGTATTTTCATGAATGTTCACGAGTGAAAGCAAGGGTGATCCTTCAAAGAACCACAAAGACGATTTAGTTACCATGTCAGGCAGAAATCCCACAGAATCTCTTGCAAACATCATGAAATGGTGGAGCCATCGGTAGATGGTGTGTCTCACGCACACTCTGCCATTTGATCAAGGCAGGTTGATGACACTGAAGGTCAGCAGAGTCAGTCATGCCCTAATTGGCTGTCAGCCGAAGGCTTTGAATTCTGCCCATTTTAGCAGGTAATGTTTTGAGTCCAGCTAGGGAACTGTCCAATGAGGAATTTTCACTTTGTGCTTTTAGTATTTGCGGATGAAAGGAGATCTCGCAAATTCTATCGAGTCTGCTCACAGGGATTCTTCCTTGTTCAGGGTCGTGTGTCCTTTGAGGAGGTGGCCGTCCATTTCAGTGGCGAAGAGTGGTCGCTGCTGGATCCCAGTGAGAAAGCCCTGCATCGAGAAGTCATGTTGGAAATGTCAGGGATGGTGGACTCTTTAGGTAAGGGTTCCTCTGGAGGAAAATTATGTCAGACCAAGGGGTCACTAGACATTTTAGTCACAACTTAAATCTATACGTATCTTGTTAAAAATGATTTCATCTCTTCTTTTGTCCTCTTACGTTAATTCCAGTCCGCTTTCATGGTCTTCTAAGTAGCACAATTACATTGAGAAGAAAGAGATCAGTGGGGTGATCAGTCATTCTGGCAAGGGTTGACATTCGGTCTTGTGGTCATCCTGGGCCCTGTGTCATCACTGCAAAGCTATTGGGAGAGGATGTTTTTGCCTATTGCAGTTGTCCTAATCGGGAACAAATTTTGTCTTGCTTCATGTTGCAATGACATATGTTGTCTTATTGATTGTAACTTAGATGCATCATATGTGAGACAATATGTGTGCCATGTCCTGATGTCAAGACCTGTTCTTGCTTTAAATTTTTAACTGCCAAGAATGAGGGTTAGATCAGCAGCCATGCTAGTCTTTTAAGTTAATAACTAATATTCATGCTGTCATTTCCCCCGTTTCTTTCTCCGCAGATGCCCAGTAATAGATAAATCTATGCATTGGGACAGCAAACTGTACGTTGTGTATTATTCTAATTTATTTTTCTTCCCCCTCAAGCATTGGATGCAGAGGAGAAGAAGGAAAATTACCAAGAGCCAAATTTAATGCAATTGCAAATCGTCCAAACTGAAATACCTGAAGAGACACCTACAAATCAACGGGAGAGGAGGAAACATGAAAAGAAGAATACTTGGAGAGAAAAATCTATTCTTGAACGTGTGGAAATCGATTGCTTGCTGACGAAAGGTGACTCCAAAGAAAATACGGGGAAATGTCAAAGTAGAAAAAGATTCAAAGCAAACCCCAATTTTAGTAATCACTACAAAACTGGAAAGAGCTTCAGCAGTAATAAACTTACTCCCCATAAAATGACCCAGGCAAGGGAGAAGCCCAACAAAAGTTTGGACTGTGGAAAAGGCTTTCGGTGGAGAGGTAATCTAACTTCCCATAAAAGAATACAGTCAGGGGGAAAGCCCTATAAGTGCACGGTCTGTGGGAAAAGATTCAGTTCAAGCAGTTCCTTTACTTCTCATAAAGGAATCCACACCAGAGAAAAACCCTATGAATGCCTAGAGTCTGCAAAGAGCTTCAGGAACAAGGAGTGTCTCAAATCCCACAAAAGGATGCATACAGGCAGAAAACCTTATAACTGTGTGGACTGTGGTAAAAGGTTCAGTGTGAAGAGTTCCTTTACTTCCCATAGAAGGATCCATACAGGAGAGAAACCCTATAAATGCCTACAGTGTGGGAAGAGCTTCAGCACTAGTAGTTACCTAATATGCCATAGAAGGATCCATTCAGGGGAAAAACCCTATAAATGCATAGATTGTGGAAAAACCTTCAGGAGAAACGGGTCTTTTACTAGGCATAAATTGATCCATACGGGAGAGAAACCCTTTAAATGCATGGAGTGTGGGAAGAGCTTTAGGCAAAGTGGTGTCCTTGCTTCCCATACAAGGATCCATACAGGAGAGAAACCCTATAAATGCCTTGTGTGTGGAAAGACCTTCCGTGAAAAGAGTTCTCTTACTTGTCATAGACGGGTCCACACAGGAGAAAAACCCTTTAAATGCATAGAATGTGGGAAGGGCTTCAGGCAAAGTTCTTCCCTTGCTTCCCATAAACGGGTCCACACAGGAGAAAAACCCTTTAAATGCCTGGAGTGTGGAAAGAGTTACAAAAACAGCAGTTACCTGAACCTCCATAAACGGATCCACACGGGAGAGAAATCCTATAAATGCATGGAGTGTGGAAAGAGCTTCGCTATAAAGACTTCTCTTACTTCTCATGAAATGATCCACACTGGAGAGAAACCTTACAAATGCATGAAGTGTAGAAAGAGGTTCAGGACCAGAAATTGTCTGAAATCCCACAAAAGGATTCATACAGGGGAAAAACCTTATAAATGTGTGGACTGTGATAAAAGGTTCAGTGTGAAGAGTTCCTTTACTTCCCACAGCAGGATCCATACGGGAGAAAAACCCTATAAATGCATAGAGTGTGGGAAGAGCTTTAGTCAAAGTAGTGGCCTTGCTTCCCATAAAAGGATTCATACGGGAGAGAAACCCTATAAGTGTATTGAGTGTGGAGAGAGCTACAGAACTAGTAATCAACTGACCTCCCACAAAAGGATCCATTCAGGCCAAAAACCTTATAAATGCACGAAATGTGGAAAACCCTTCAGGACACACAGTTCACTTGCTTCCCATAAACGGATCCATACAGGAGAGAAACCCTATAAATGCCTGGAATGTGGGAAGAGCTTCAGTGTAAAGAGTTCTCTTACTTCTCATTTACGGGTCCACACAGGAGAAAAACCCTATAAATGCATAGACTGTGGGAAGGGCTTCACGCAAAGCTCTGCCCTTGCT